GACTTACATCAGATCCCTACTTACAAACGGGGTGAGGCAACCCTGCACTAGCTGCTTCCCCCCAGCAGACCAGGGAGACGCAAAGCTAGCACCCACCCTCAGCAGACCAGGGAGACGCGGAGCGGCTTTTCTCAGTAGACACCTCAGCTTGAGAATAAAAGACTGAGGGAAGTGAGGTGTGGAAGAATAAGACTGAGCTCTGGAGAAATGTTTGGCTAGAGTTTCCCCTACAATATGTACCAGTTCCGACTTACATACAAATTCAACTTAAGAACAAACCTACAGTCCCTATCTTGTACGTAACCCGGGGACTGCCTGTACAGAGCTCTTTCTATATAAGGCCACATCTTCATTTCTGGAAGATTGATGCTGTGGCGGTTGATCTTCTGAAGTTTGATTTAGTGGGTCTAAATAAAGATCCGCTAAATTGAATTCTGAGAGTGCCCCCGTCAACGCCGGAATTTCTACACTTCATGAAGAGTAAGGGAAATCAATAGGAGTGTTTCTCCCAGCAACCTCCCATTGTGAGAGTGGCACCGAAGCTTGACTTAAAGAATATCGACTCCAGCTACAATTTTTAGAGAGCTAGAATTGTATACCTTAAGTCAACCTTCACCTGAAGTGTGGACCTGGCCTTAGTATAAAATCACTCAGACTGTTCTCAGTACCACTTTCAGTAGCATGAGGATTTTGACTTACTAGCCAGTTCCAAACCAGTGTTCTGTGGTCAATATTCCCCTTCTGTAGAAATATTGATAAAGAGAGGATACAATTTTCTTTCCCCAGTTCCTAATTATTAACCTATTGCGTCTGAAGTTTTCAGTTGTTGGAGTTGTTGTAGTAACTCACAAACAGATGCATATATTTAATGTATTCTGATTTTTCTAAGAACTCTGGGGAGTGAGTATGCTTTAGCAATTAACAGAAAAAACAAATTATACTACATGTAGTACTTAATTCATAACCCATACATTTCTCCCTCATGTGAAATCTGATTTTCCATGTGTTTTTTATCTTGTACTATACAGATTTCATGGGAGAGACCAGCTTGACGTCAGCACCCCACAAGCATTAGTACAGAAATAAGGGCTAACATACTTCCCTTGCTTCTGCACTGTGGTCTTCAGAGCTGGGCAGCTAGAAAGTGGCGGCTGCTGATTGAGGACCCAGCTCTATAGGCAGCAGCACAGAAGAAAGGGTCACAACACCACACCATGCCGTCCTTACTTCTGTACTGCTGCTGGCATTGGCTCTGAGTTGAGAGCTAGGCTCTTGGCTGGTGGCCACTGCTCTCCAGCTACCCAGCTCTGAAGGCAGAAGAAAGGATACAAGTTCTGCAACTCTCCCCCTCAATAACTTTGCAACCTTTTCACAACTCCCTTTTGGGTCAGGATCCCTACAATTACAACACTGGGGGATTTCAGATTTTAATAGCTGAAATCATAAAATTTACACTTTTTTAAATCCTGTGATATTGTAATTAACCAAAATGGATTGTGAATTTAGTAGGTTCCTATTCTTGTGATTCAAAATAGGAAAACCCAGAATCATAAAGTGACCTTAATTCTTACGGCTGGGCATAGGAAACCAAACAGCCTCTTAAGGGAATTAAACCACCCTGTCACACTAACTTACCCACTTATTAGGACTAATTGCTTCAGATCTGAATAGTGACTTTTCTTACCTACCAAGTTTATATACCAAGTTTATATTCTGATGGTCAGTATGCAATGTTTTGATAAGAATGGCCATACTGGGTCAGACCAAAGGTCCATCCAGCCCAGTATCCTGTCTGTTGACAGTGGCCAATGCCAGGTGCCCCAGAGAGAGTGAACTGAACAGGTAATGATCATGTGAGTTCTCCTGCCATTTATCTCTACCTCTGACAAACAGAGGCCAGGGACACCATTCCTTTCCCATCCTGGCTAATAGCCATTAATGGACTTAACCTCCATGAATCTATCTAGTTCTCTTTTAAACCCTGTAATAGCCCTAGCCTTCGCAACCTCCTCAGGCAAGGAGTTCCACAGGTTGACTATGCGCTGTGTGAAGAAGAACTTCCTTTTATTTGTTTTAAACCTGCTGCCCATCAATTTCATTTGGTGGTCCCTACTTCTTATATTACGGGAACAAGTAAATAGCTTTTCCTTATTCACTTTCTCCACACCACTCATGATTTTATAGACCTCTATCATATTTCCACCCCCTTAGTCTCCGCTTTTCCAAGCTGAAAAGTCCTAGTCTCTTTAATCTTGCCTCATATGGGACTAATCATTTTAGTCCTAATCATTTTAGTTGCCCTTCTCTGAACCTTTTCTAATGCCGGTATATCTGTTTTGAGACAAGGAGACCACATCTGCATGCAGAATTCAAGTTGTGGGCGTACCATGTATTTGTATAAGGGCAACAAGATATTCTCTGTCTTATTCTCTATCCCCCCCCCTTTTTTTTACAGAAGTTTTGATTTGTAACTTGTGTTTTATTTTCAGATCCTGCTATGCAGACATGCTTCATGACAAAGACAGAGTGAGTATAGAAAGTATTTTCTAGAATGGTGAAAAAATGGGTACTCAGAGAAGGTGCAAATTGTTCTTATCAGCTACTTGTAACTTGAACACTCTAATTCACTATTTTCCCCTTTCCTTTCCCTTCTCCTTCCCCATTTATTCTTGGATCTGGACTTTTAATACTCCATTTATCTGAAGAAGTGGGTTGTGCCCACAAAAGCTCATGATTCCATCTACGTGTTTTGTTAGTCTTTAAGGTGCTGTTAGACAATTACAGGCAGTCCCCGGGTTACGTACAAGATAGGGACTGTAGGTTTGTTCTTAAGTTGAATCTGTATGTAAGTCGGAACTGGCATCAGCCGCTGCTGAAACTGATCAGTTTCAACAGCTGCTGAATCTGGACACCAGTTCCACTTACATACAGATTCAAGATAAGAACACCAGGCGTCCCCAAGTCAGCTGCTGCTGAAACTGATCAGCTGCTGATTCCAGGAAGCCCAGGGCAGAGCAACTCTGCCTCGGGCTTCCTGTAGTCAGCCA